TGCATGCTTAGGTCTATGTTACTTATTTAATTGCATCTCTTTTGTTTATTTGATGTAATTATATAAGTAACATTATGGACATTATTTTGAGACAGTATGATTATGAGATAGCCTAGGCCATGGATGGCTGGGCAATATGTTTTATCTATGCTGTGATATGCCTGAGTTATATTAAACTGTCGATCAGGTTGAAATTATCATAGTGGGAATTATCTCCAGAGGTCCAAAATACAGAGGAAATGCTGTCCGTTTTATTTTGGCCATGGAAGTAAAAAGGCTTGCAATACATAAGGAAAAAGGGAAAATTTATTTAGTTAGCTTCCGAAATAATTAAGTTGAGCATGCTGCACTTACTATCATATGAATGTTAATTAACCGGCTGCAGACAGGGCGTTACAGTGTGCTGGGCAAACACGCAAGCCCGTTCCAAAGGATGGCAAGATACCGAGCTAAGCAGCCTTTGGAGTTAATACATACCGACCTGTGTGCACCCATAACTCCGGGGTCCTTCAGTGGAAAGAGATACTTTGTTTCGTTTATTGATGATTTCAGTCGTAAGACTTGGGTATATTTTCTGAAGGAAAAGTCTGAGGTGCTAGAGGCCTTTAAAAGGTTTAAAGTGACGATAGAAAATGCAACCGGGAGATACATTAAGTCGGTCCGTTCTGACCGAGGTGGCGAGTACATTTCAACTGCCTTTAGAAGGTATTGTGAAGAACATGGGATAAGGCGGTTCCTGACCGCGCCGTACTCACCACAGCAAAACGGAGTTGCTGAAAGAAAGAACCGGACTATCTTGGATATGGTGTGTTCTATGTTAAAAACTAAGAATATGCCTAAGGAGTTTTGGGGAGAAGCCGTACAATGTCCTGTGTACGTGCAGAATAGATGTCCGCATTCAAGTGTGAATGATAAGATCCCACAGGAAACATGGAGTGGTCTAAAGCTATTAGTGGCTCATTTCAAGATTTTTGGTAGTGTTGCGTATGCACACGTATCGGATCAGCTCAGAACGAAGCTTGAAGATAAGAGTAAGAAGTTTGTGTTTATTGGATATGATGAGAAGACGAAGGGATACAAGTTGTTGGATCCCGTCAATAAAAGGGTGTTGGTAAGCCGAGATGTGAAAGTGAATGAAGAAGATGAATGAGACTGGAATAGTACATCCAGGGTCAATGTGGAACCCGAAAATATATCAATTGAGGTCGGACAACCTTCGACCCACATCCCGACAAATCCTGAAGTCTCTGATGATGATGAAGAGCAGAGACAACCGAGAATGAGAAGCTTGCAATACTTGTATGACTCAACTAACGAAGCACATCTCGTTTGCTTGTTAGCAGATTCTGAAGATTTGAGCTATGAAGAAGCTGTCCGAAATGAAAAATGGAAATCTGCCATGGAAGAAGAGATAAAAGCTATTGAGCGGAATAAGACATGGAGTTAGCCGAGCTACCAAAAGGAATTCGGCCCATCGGTGTGAAGTGGGTATATAAGAAGAAGATGAATGTTAAAGGGGAGATTGAGCAATTCAAAGCTCGGCTAGTAGCAAAGGAGTACAAGCAGAAAGCTGGAATAGACTATGACGAGGTGTTTGCACCCGTAGTGAGGATGGAGACAATCAGGTTGTTGATCTCATATGCAGCCCAGCTTGGATGGCCAATCTATCAGATGGATGTGAAGTCGGCATTCTTAAACGGTGTACTTGAGGAGGAGGTATATCTCGAACAAACTTCGGGTTTCATGAAAGTCGAACAAGAAAGAAAAGTGTTAAGGCTGAAGAAGGCTTTGTATGGGCTGAAGCAGGCACCGCGTGCTTGGAACACCCGTATTGATTCTTATTTCAAAAAGGACGGATTTGACCAATGTCCATATGAACATGCCCTGTATGTGAAGAAGAAAAAAGGTAATATTTTATTGGTGGCTTTATATGTTGATGATCTAATCCTCTTGGGAAATGATGAAGGGATGATACAAGACTTCAAGAAGAAAATGACAAAAGAGTTCGAGATGACGGATCTCGGTCTGATGAGATACTTCCTTGGTCTGGAAGTCAGACAATAAAAATCCGGGATTTTCGTATATCAATAAGCTTATGCAAAAGATATCCTGAAGAGGTTCAAAATGATAAATTGCAATCCGGTTTCAACTCCTATGGAACCCGGCTTAAAACTTTCGAAGTATGATGGAGGAGAAAGAGTTGATCCGAGTAATTACCGGAGTCTAGTAGGATGTTTGAGGTATTTAACTTGTACAAGACCAGACTTGTGTCTAAGTGTTGGGATTATAAGCCGGTTCATGGAAGATCCGGGCTACACACATTGGAAGGCAGCAAATAGGATATTGAGATATGTTCAAGGAACAATCTCGCAAGGACTTCATTATTCGAAGTCAGACAAGTACAAGCTGGTGGGATATTCAGACAAGTACAAGCTGATGGGATATTCAGATAGCGACTGGTGTGGAGATGTCGACGACAGGAAGAGCACGGTTGGCTATGTGTTTTCCATGGGAAACACGACATTCACGTGGGTGTCAAAGAAGGAACCCATTGTGACTTTATCTACTTGTGAAGCCGAGTACGTTGCTGCTTCCTGGTGCATTTGTCACGCAATGTGGCTGAGGAATCTATTGAGTAAATTGGAGCAAGAACAAGTCGGCCCAACCGAGATCCGGGTTGACCACAAATCTGCAATCGAGTTAGCAAAGAACCCGATCAACCATGAGAGGAGTAAGCATATAGATGTCAGGTTTCATTTCATCCGGGATCAAGTCAAGGAAGGAAAGGTGGAGCGCACTCATATTACAAGCCGAGATCAAGTGGGTGACATATTAAGTCGTTGCCAACAATGCTGTTAGAAAACTTCAAGAAGAAGATTGGGATGAAGGATGGTAGAAGAATTTAAAGCTTATTGGGGAGTTTTGTTGGATAAGTTTTAAATTAAATAAAAGAAAAATAGAAAAATGAAAGGTTTATGGTGAAGAGGTGTGTCCCTAGGTATATGTTAGTGGACAATTAATATGTTTAGATTTCCTATGTTAGTCATTATCACTCTTAATCATTTGCTATTGCTTATAAATAGCACACTATAACTCTTGTAATTTGGGCTTGACAGAATCAGTAATATAATATAAGTATATTCAGATAATTGCCTGTATATTTTGTGTGTGTGTGAGCACCAGTTATAGGGCCTGTGAAATAACATCTATGATCTAACAACACATTTCATAACCGACCATTGTAGTCTAAAGAAAAAAAAACACACACACACTATTGGGAGTAAAAGCCAAATGATAGTGTATTCGCTCTCTCTGCATGATTCCTATACTTGATTGCAAATAAATGAAGTTTCAACAATTGTTCCTTTGTTTTTTATTCTTTTAGCGTGTAACTGTGTAAATAATTAAATAAAAAAGGCTGTCTGGAACTAGTTCAAAACTTGGCTAAAAAATTATGTTTATTTAACTTTATTTGGGGTGCTTGAAGAAAAATAATAACTTACTCACGGACCAGTACATTTTTTACCGACACCACAATGTGTGCGTATAGTATTTTATATTTGACAAAGAGAATGGTTATATTTACAAATTTAAAGTTGACAAATTCTTATAATTATATTATATAGTATGAGTAATACATTTTAGTTAAGTATATAGTAATATATATTACTTATAATACATAATATAATTTGTAAGTATTTATAAATTTTTAAATATAACATATCACTTTCACAAATAGTAGGCCCGAATTTTAGGAATCTAGCCCATCTAGACCAGAGAACATTTAAGAAGCTATCCCACACCATAATGAGTACCGATTAATATTAGTAAGTTGTAACATCAAACACCCATAAATAGAATCCTCAGCCTACTTCTTTAATACTTTCACTATTCATTATAAAATTATATTTCATTCTGAGTTGTTTATCTTATTTTATTTTTATTTTTTGGTAAACTTATTTTTTTTTTTGGTAAACAGTTGTTGATCTTATTAATTTCAGCGTCAAAGCAGTTTCATTCTCTTTGCTAAAGTGTAAGAAATTAAAGGATAAAAAATGAAAATTATGATAAATAAAAAATTAAATAAGTTAACTATGTGACAGTTTATGCATAAAAAATTAATGTTAAGAATTTCTAACATAAAATTATTTTGTTACAACCTTTATATTATTTGTCACATAAAAAATAAAATAAAAATTGTCGCAACATTACAAATAAAGTTTGGATCTTTACTAAAATATATCATTACCAAAATAGCTTGGATCTTTACAAATAAAGTTTTGTGGACTGTTATTTAAGGTCACTAAATTCCTAAAAGGTTTCCACTTTGCTCCAAGGAAAAGCCCATCCCATGTTAGAGACTAATTTCAAACACAGGAAAGGGAAATAAATCATCACTAAAATAGCAAAATCCCATAATTAATCAAAAAAAACAAAAAGAATACAGAAAAATAGTAAAACAATATAAAAAGGAAAACGATAAGAAGCCAGAAAGCGAGAGAGAGAGAGAGAACAGAAGAATAAAAGAAAGTGGAAAAAAGTGTGTTAAATTAAACCAAAAAAATAATAAATAAATAGTTAATTGAGAATATAATTAGTAGATTAGCTTTTTTTGTTTTTCAAGAATAACTAGTAATAAACAGAACAATTATTTCAAAACTGACATGTTTAATCTTTGAAAAATAGACAGTCACAAGATTTGACAAGCCTAGTCGACTTACGAACAATAAATAACACCAGAAGGAGTTAATATAAACTTTAAAGGCTTAAAAAAGATGGTTAGGAAAGTTAAACAGTCACTAATGGCTAGTCAAAATAAAATTAAAAACGCACAAGTAGTCATTCAATTCATACATCGTATCCCGTAATTAAACTTTAAATAAAACTTAACCATAATCAAAAACATAATGCCAAAAACAAAAAAGCAAAAAAAAAAAAAAAAAAGGGTCAATACTGACAGAAACAAAGAGTGAGGAGGAGCCTGCATGCCCTAAACCTAGCTAGTTGAAGAAAGTTTTGGAGGAAGCATTATCAGACATTTGTTGCTTCCTATCATATAATTGTGTGAGCAATGCTAACTGTTCCATTGAGAAAACGCACAACCCTTGAGAATAAAGCATGGTTTGTGCAACTGGTGAGTTAACCAGAACCTGCAAAACCTGGTTCCTGTTCAGCCTCTCCAAGTCACCAAAAACACCACCACCGCCTCCGCCTCCTCCGCCGTTGTTATGAACGGCGGCCAGGAAAGGCGAGGTCTGTGACGGCATGGACTGAAGGACGCAGAACTGTGCCTGCAAGAACTTCACGTACTTGCAAGCCTCTTCCATAAGGGTTGCTTGGTCCATTTTCGTGTCCCATGGCATCAGTTTCTGCAAGCAACGCGTTTTCTCGCTCAGTTTCTGCCTTCTCTGCCGTGCCAGGTTGCTCTGAGGGATCACCGACGGTGCCTTTCCACGCACCGCCGCCGCCGCCGCAGAATCCGCCGTGGGATCAAGGCGGAGGCGTTTTCTTTCGGCTGGGTATGAGGTCTCCGGCGAACGGAGTTGGGGGAGACGGTGGAACGCGGAGGAGTGGTCGTAGGGTTGGTATTTGGGGAAGAAGTTGAAGGGTTGTTGAGCGAGAAACTCTTCTATGGGAAGATGAGAAGGGTAAGGGTGGTTGTGGTGGTTTTCGTTTTTGGGGACAAGGAGCTTCTTCTCTTTGAGATTGGGAGTTTCTGTGGGTTCGGGTAGGTTCAGTTGTGGAGGGTCGACGTCGGTTAGAGAAGCCAAGTTTGGGAAACCGTTGGTGAAGAGAGAAGGGTTGAGAGTGAGAAGGGACTGAAGGCTGACGCCGGAAAACATGGGGTCGAAGGAGGAGGCGTCGCCGGAAAACATGGAGTGGAAATTTGGGTCCATCATGCATGAATACAAATGAGTATATCATAGTATGACAACATATATAGGCACACACATTTAGAGAGAGAAAGAGAGAGTATATAATAATAAATAAATAATAATAAATGAAAATGGAGTTACGAGAAGAAGGGACACGTGGAATGTAGAGAGTGGATGAAGGAATAGGAAGATGATGATTGGGTTGGGGAGGGAGAGAGAGAGGGTTCGTACGTTCATGATGATGTGAAGGTGTAAGGTGGCCGAGATAGAGAGAGAGAAACTAAAACAGCTGTGATTGTGAGAGAGAGAGAGAGTGCGTGTGTGTGTGAGAGTGTGTGTGTTTTGGTTTGTTGTGTCTGCTCTGGCCGTTTCGGCTGCACCACCGTGAAAACCCGCTTTGCTGCTCCCCTTGTCCTTTTTTGTTTTATTATCACTATCGTTCTCAACTTTTTCTTTTCTTTACTTTTTCTCTCAAAGGTTTTTAGGTTGCATATAATATACACGAAGTTTGTTGTGTATATTATCACAAGCGTTGCATGTCATGAATAATGAAAAGGTTATACTTGCATTTCTTCACAAATTAGCTATAGCCATTATATAGCAAGAGAGTGATTCTTAATTGATGGACATATATACATATATGTATTATTATGATATGCAAATAGAACCTTCTTATATATGTAATATGAAGAAATTAAAGAGGGTTATATGTGGAATTGTGGTGAGAATAATAGACATTTGTAATGCGCGTGGTTGTGTTAGCATGGCTTAATTATTATAACACGTACGTGCTTGATGTACTGTCAGATAATGCCTGAACACTGAATATCCTTTTCCTCATGATTCCATCCGTTCACCAATATTGCTCTTTTATGTGGAGCAGGGACCAAAAATAAAAAAGCATGTACAAGGTGTACATGCAATTAAAACTTACTAGCTAATTGATGCAATGCAATCATTTAATTCTGCCTCATTTGTTGTTCTAAAGTGGAGCCAACTCGTCCCTCCGTGGACTACGGTCTCCGACACTGATTTGTCAGATGTTCCTTAAAAACTATATATAGGCTTAGAGATGAAGATCGAAATGTAACCACATTATCAACCTTCATCTTATTATTATACTATTATAATTTCACACAACAAAAAGAAAAATAAAATAAAAAAACTAAGGGATATGAAAGACAGAAAGAGTGTTCATTGATTTGAACCACATACGGACGACGAGTTCTGCTATCACCAGAGGTCATCTTCGACGAGTACATCTATCAGAGGTTGCTGGCGACAAGCTGCAACAAATTTGCCTCTTTTGGGCTCTATGATTTTTTGCTCTGATCAACCACCACCAATCAGAGGCCACCGCCGACAAGCAGCTGCAACAACTTTGTCTCCTCTGATGACAACTGACAACAAGCTCTCAGACTGAAAAGCTCTGATTTTTTATTTTTATTTTTTTTGTGTTGCTCTAATTCCATGTCGTTGTCATCAACTATAATACTTACTAATATATAATATATGTACATTGTGTTGATACCTTGTAAGTATATATAGTTTAAACTAATGCTACATAAATTTGTAAACTGATTTTGTTGTGTTGCTAACTGCTCTTTATTATTATGTTCTTGTGTCAAATTGTCATGCATTTTTTACCTTGAGTTTACAGTTTGAACTTCGGATTACCTTTTGTAATTAATTATGTCTATGTTTGAATGGAGTTTTGAAGTTGGAGTATAATCTCAATACTGAGATGAGCTTACTTTTTCATGAATATGTACTTGTAATTTTATATTTTATCACGGGTTTATTATGCATTTTATGTCGTGAAATGTTGGATTTCTGATGACATGAACCACATCAATGAGCTTTTTATTTAGTTTACTTTAGGCTTAACAAACAAATTTCACAAAATAGAAGCAAACAATCCAATTGATTTGATTGGCTTAATTATCCCTCTTCTAAAACTAAACTAAACTAAACCAACTCATGAAAAAGCCTAGGTATATACTGTCTAAAGATGGCCATCATGCGCACTTTTTTGCTAACAATTTAGCAGGTAATACTTTGTCATTACAAAGAGTTATACTGGCAAAAAAAAAAAAAAGTTTAAGCTAGTGTTATTGTTTCAAGTTTAAAGACAACCGACCTCATTTCCAAAGGAGCTACTACTGCACCCAAAAAGCACACGAATCAAGCAAAAAAAGGCAAACAATTAAGTGATATTGTTTCTCCCTCCATAATGTTAGTTATCAGCTACTAATTATAAGGAATATCACTAGAAGAGTTAGCTCAATAGTAAATACTCTTTTTGTTCCTCAACAAATTTTACGATGCTCGTTTTAGTCCTTAACAAATAAAAAGTCTCATTGTGATCCCTAAGAAATTCAAAATGGAACTATTTAGTTAAAATTGTGGTCCCTCCTCACAAATTCAAAAAAGACTCATATTGGTCTCTAAAAAGACTAAAATAGGTCCATTTTGAATTTCTTAGAGACCACGATAAGCCTTTTTATTTGCTAGGAACTAAAGCGGGTATCGTGAAATTTGCGGAGAACCAAAAAAAGATATTTACTCTTAGCTCAAATATCCAATCACCCCTTTTGCTAAACCGATACACAGATGCTAGCTCAGTACAAGGAGGCCAGCATCAGAGAGCAAACAACATCCCTCCTGACAACAAAAAGTGCTACTTGGGCAACATATATAATAGAAGCAACTCCACCTTCTGCATTCTTTATTAAACTGAAGGTATATCATCAGAAACGCGGAAGCGCATCGTACCGACGATGAGGAATGAAGACACCGCTTTGATTACCTGGGGTGAAGAAGCGAGCGTGACGATTTCTCACCTTCAGTTCTCCTTGTCAAGCTCACGATCTTGCAGCAACGCACCACAAACGGTCGCAATTCCGCTCTACGATTGATCTTCCAGGCTATGACTCAAGGGGATCAGGGGGTCGTGTGGGCAACCGTTCAGATGATGAACGTCTGCCTCTTTGGTGTGTTTCTGATGACTGTAACCCTAGGAGGCACAAGGGAGAAAAGAGTGTTTATATACCCTGCCCAATTCAAAACTAACACTAAGCTTCATGAGTTAAAATTGGACTTTGGGCTCACTCTCACTAAAGCTATTGGGCTTAAGTGAAAAGAGCATACTAAACCCAACAATCTCTCACTTGCTCTTTTGGACACAAACTTGAGTTCATAAACCCACAACTATGTAGCCCATAAGCCATCATCATCTGATTATACAACTCATCCCTTGTCTCAAGCTAGCCTGGGGATCTACCATCTGTTATTAATCAAGGCTCCTGATAATCAACGAATGATTATCTAATTCGGTGCTACTCCGCTAAAAGCCCGAACTTGAACTCCAAGATTAACAACACTTATAACATGAATATGCATCGCCCTTTTGTAGAATGTCTATAATTAATTGACAAGTTTTTTGTAACTCAATCAATTATTTATTCCCTTGACTATGATAGTTTCTCTAATGGATTACATGCACTGCCAGTGTCTTTAATATCCAAGTACCGAAACATATCAAGGGGACATATCCTACAAATTCCATGTTGTTTATCTCATAAATACCGATAATCAAATAATCTCACTCCCAAAATACTGAGTTATTGGCCGTCAATAGATCGAACCTCACTCGTTGGTAAATCAAAGAATGAAAACTATTTGATTACCTATTCATAATAAACTCATGATTAAGAGCAATTACATAACTATAGTTAACTGGAGATTTGATACCTTATGACAGAAAAACAACCTTAATCAAATCTCACCTTGATCCTTTCAATGTGAATATTAATTCACACCAATATTTTACAATGATTCGGACAAAACCATTTCATGAAATATTGCAGCCTAAATAAAGTGTCCAACTTTATTTAACAGCTATGAATCTATTCATTAATTATGAGAACCTATGATCATGTCCTCCATGAACGTATCCATATGATCATATACTCCACAATTTGATCCGGACCTTGATGTTTGTAAATAGTGCGCAAAATAAATAAATAAAACCTTATTTATGAAATTTAGAAAATAATTTCATTGTTTCATCGTCTTACTCCAAGAGCACAACGAAACCAATAACTCCCACTCGCTTAATGCAAGTCTGGGATCCTCCTAAGACCCAAAGAAGTAACATGCTCTCGAACACAAGTTCAGGCAAACTCTTAGTAACTGGGTCTGCAAGATCCACCTCTAATGCTATCTGAGTTTAGTGAAAAACTCACAGCTCGAGGTTGATTTCTTGAGTCAATATCCACTTGAAATAACTGAATTTGTGAAAACTCAGCTTTTCAAGACTCCCACTAGAACATACCAGCATATAATCTCTCGTTCTCCAAAGATACTTGAGTACATGCTTAACAATAATCTTAGTGTTCCTCTATATCCAGAATGGTACCATCTCACTACTCTCACTGTGTGACAGATGTCTGGTTTAACGCCCAACACGATATGCATGAGACTACCTTTGTCAAAGCATAAGATATCCTGCTCATGCATTCTTCCTTCTCAGGAGTCTTTTGTTACTTCTTAGGGAGATGAATTCTACATTTGAGAATTATAATTCTTGCCTTAGAATTCTCATGTTGAATTTTGGCAAGAGTTTTGTCAATGTAAGTAGTCTGAGGTGATGCCAACAACTTATTCTTCCGGTCTCATAAGAGTTTTATACCAAGAATATAATTTGCTTCCCCAGTACTTCCATACCAAAACACTAACTTAGCCAACTCTTTATACTTGGTATTACCTCCATGTTATTTTCAATAAGGAGAATATCATCTACATAAAGTACCAGGAAAAACTATTGTCTTCCATTGGATTCTTTACATACAAATACACATCAAGGTTCTCTCAAAATCAAAATTTTGATAACCTGATCAAAGACTGATGTTCCAAGACCTGGATGCTTGCTTAAGTCTGTAACACCCCGTATATATCCGGTAATGTTATCATAATATCGTATTAAGCTGCGCTTAATTAAAATGCGGAATTACTTTTTC